AAAGCCAACGGCACACGGTACTATTTTTCCTACTGGATTGCTTACGAGAGCCAATCAGGATGCAGAGTTTTAGATCAGGTGACTTGAAGCTAAATCCTGGTTGGCTCTCGTAAGCAATCCAGTAGGAAAAATAGTACCGTGTGCCGTTGGCTTTACTCCTGATTGGCTCTCGTAAGGCTGATGGCAGACAACTATCCGTAAGCGCACGTGTTCCACGGCTTACGTTTTTCTCTGCCTTACCTTAAGTCTACGACTACGTCAGTCTTAAGCGCTTACAGATAGTTGTCTGCCATCAGCCTAAGGGTACTATTACATTTGTCGTACGACAAATTTTTCAAGCGTGTCGATTGGCCGCTGAATAGAAAGTTTCTAGATACTCGAGAATTTTACTATCCTTCAGCCAATCAATATGCTTAAAAACTTTGTCGTACGACAAATGTAATACCAGCCTAAGGGTACTATTACATTTGTCGTACGACAAATTTTTCAAGCGTGTCGATTGGCCGCTGAATAGAAAGTTTCTAGATACTCGAGAATTTTACTATCACGCTTAAAAACTTTGTCGTACGACAAATTCTCGAGTATCTAGAAACTTTCTATTCAGCGGCCAATCGACACGCTTAAAAAATTTGTCGTACGACAAATGTAATAGTATCCTAAAGGCCTTCACACACAAAATTCCGTAAGGACGTAAAACGTAAGCGTAAGAAAATCGGCCAATCACAGTCGAGAACATAAGGCAATAACGCAAGCAGTAGCAAATCCAATCTGTTGATTTTCTTACGCTTACGTTTTACGTCCTTACGGAATTTTGTGTGTGAAGGCCTTAAGCAACCCAGTAGGAAAAATAGCATCGTGTGTGCCGTTGGCTTTAATTTCTCTTTATGTATTTCCTCTCTTTGTTATTCTTCATCTACCTTTCTTTCTACTATTTTAGTCATATGGATGAAGGGATTAACAGACATTACGGATGGACCAAGATCGTACAAGGAGAGTATTGATGATTACGTCAGATTAACATTAAAAAGAGTTACACTTTCCGATGAAGGTACCTATTGCATTTTGGTTAAAAATAGATATGGCTGTGATAGAAGCTTCTTCTCGATCAGGGTGAGAATCTTCCTAAATTTAATTTAAATAAAAAAAGAACAAACTATAATTAACAATGTATTCAAACAGGTAAAACAACGTGCTAGATCATTGACTCCATTATCAGATTGGAATTCTGTTACTGAACGTGACATAGAAGAATACAACAATGATATGTCCTATGTGAAAAGTGAGCTTTACAATTATTTATACGCAATATTGGCTATAAAGAGAACGCTTCTAAGATTTCTAACGTTACTTGCATGAATTAAAATAAATAAATGCATCGATTATTTAGTAACATAGTAATAAATACTAACTGAAATGTCACGATATTATTGTATAACATATTAAAAATAGAATGACAAACAATCTACACACCAACTGCAACATCGTATACTTGGCTTAAATTTTAATGGCCAAGTGCCAATTGATGCCTGGAGTGCTCGCGCAAACTGACATCAATATTTAGTTTCACTATTCACATCGAATTAATATGCTGCTCGAAGATCTTCTTAAATGCATGTAAATATAATTTTGGAATGTGTGAGCCGGTATCCTGAAATGTATGTACTTTTAATTGAATTCAGAATTGGCGTACTTACAAAGTTTTGCGCTCGTAATGTAAAATAAACGCGACAGGAAAACATCCAAGTTTCCTTCATTCGAGGAACATTTCAAGATCGGTTATTTTAGTTTGCCTCCTTTACTCATCTCTTACCAACACCTCACCAACTCCACAAATTCAAAATTCAGTCGTCATCTAAACGCGAATCACTTCATATACCCTACTTTTCAAAGCCATTAGTTTTGTGACGATATAGTGCGCTGATAAAAAATATCGCAGTGAAGACTCATTTATTTGTCAACATAGAAATGCTAAATCTGTCGTATTACTTTTATAACATTATTTTATAAGATGTTAAATATGTTTTTTTCTTTTGTCCTTATTGTAATATAATACCAAAACGTGTTTGATTTACAAGCATTAATAAATATACATTGCCAAAGTAAAATAAAATTTATCATGATGCCACATGATCATGGAATCATTATTAATGCCGAAAATGAAAATATCACTATTTCACGTTTGAGGTGTTTTTGGACCAAGGATTGTTTAATCACTGACTTCTTAGAATACTTATTCGGGCATCGAGGTTAGCAAATAGAATCTGTTCTATAATAAATAAAATTTTTTCAAATAATTCTTTTAAATGTAACAGACACAGTGAAGTTTTTGTAATCCTACATTTTATCTTGTAATTTTTATCAGATGTGCCCGGTCCGATCAGTAGCGAACCCGTTGTTATTGATGGTGGGAAAAGTTGGCTATCGTTGAGTTGGGGTAAAGCAGAAAGACGAGGACCTGCACCGGTGATCGCTTATAAAGTCGAAGCGTGGTTGTTAGGCAGTGACGGAGGTGCACGATGGGCAGAGGTAAAACAAGGAAGAAAAAGATATTTCTAGCTCAACAACTCATATCTAAATTTACATAGACAAATTTCCTAAAACAAATTCTTGTTAATTCTTGTCAGTTGGGAGTTACACCGATCAATGCATTCGACGCATTCAATTTGCGAGCAGGTGGAGAGTACAAATTTCGCGTAACACCGCGAAATCGTTACGGATGGGGCGAACCAGTTACAATGACGAATTCAGTGTTGGTAATCGAAAGTACAGATCTTCCAGAATTCACAAAAATTCTACCGGGTCAATTAAAGGCTCTTGAAGGAACACCGGTAAAATTGGAATGTGAGGCAAGTTTATAAACGCAAATAGAAATATTTTATTATAGTTTTCAACTAATTTTTTCCCCCTCCCATTTTATCATTATACACGTTTTTAATTTAAATGATTTCTTTCAGATTCGCAGTGATTCCAAAGTGGAAGTACGATGGTATCGGGAAACAACGGAAATTAATCCATGTAATGACTCAAGATTTGCGATATATCATAATGGTTCTAAATGTTCTTTGACGATTGCAAATATTAAGGAGGATGATTCTGGAAGATACGTTTGCGAAGCAAGCAATAGAATCGGTAAAGTGTCGTCGTTTGCTAGAATTCTCGTTGTTACTGATCCAAGAATTATCGAGGCCGATGCTAAACTTAAAACGAGGTAAGTAAATGTATCATCTCGCTCCAGCAAAGCTTATATTAATAACTTGATGTAATTCTATTAAAAGTTTAAGTATCGAACCGGAAGACAAACCGCCGCACTTTACCATGAGGATACGGGACAGACGAGTGCAAACAACTTATCCAGTAAGACTTACTTGCCAGGTCATCGGACATCCTGTTCCAGAAATTACTTGGTACAAAGACGGAACGGAACTCTCTCAAGATGGTAATTAATTTGACTTATTAACACTGCCTAAGAGGAAATTTCCTGTATCTTTTCGCTGTACGTTTTTATTTTTTTAGATCGCCATATCTATTGGGATAATGACTCGAACTTTCATACTCTGGAAATAATTCATTCCGCTCTCGAAGACTCTGGATGTTACATGGTGACAGCGAGGAATATAAACGGCTCGGTGTCTTGTCGATGTACTCTCGTGGTGGACAAAGGAATTCGGGCCTACGTCGCACCCGAGTTTCTTCGTGAGCTCGACGTGGCCTACACGATTCATTCAGGCGGAGAACTACGAATGTCGGCACAACTTGAAGCCTATCCGAGTGTTGGTGTCGTCTGGTAAGCGATGCTGACGGTTGACGATACTCACATTTATGACAATACGATTCATGTATTGTTTTTTTTTCTCTTTATACTCACATAGGCATCGCGATGGTATTCGCCTGCGACCGAGTAGAAGAGCGATAATGACACTGAGCCATGACGGCACAGTCCAATTTTCTCTGGCTAATGTTACTGTACGAGATGCAGGAGTTTACAGTTGCACTGCAACGAATGTAGTCGGTCAAACTGAGACATCCACCAGGGTAGCTGTTACAGCTGCGATCCAGGATCAATCGTCCATCGATGGATCATCCAAAATTACATGTCCAGATATACCGTGAGCTCGATCATTGTAACTTGTCTGGCGTACAGCTACAAAGTTGTAAATACGATTATTTTACTTTTAGACATTCGAAGGAGCCTCTTTTCGTCACGAAACCTCTATCAACCGAAGCGCTCGAGGGCGATACAGTTGTCATTCTTTGTGAAGTGGTCGGAGATCCTAAGCCGGAAGTAATATGGTTGCGCGATTTTCTCAAGGTAAACTACATGAATATTTTGTTATTTATTTCAATTAAATTAAACTTTTATCTGCAACCCTTTGCCTCTTTTGAAATACAAATTCGTAATGTAATAAGATGGTGATACAATTTTTAAAAAATGAAAAAGAAACTGATTTAAAAGGAACTTTTATTGTATTTTGGTTAATTAGTCGCAATTAAAAATGATAGACGATCGAGAAACGACAAATTGTGTAAATGGTGAAATGACGTGTATCTAATGCTGACTTAATCTGTGTAATATGGGTCAAGGTGGCTACGAAAAAATGACTACGTAGCAGAGCGTAACAGAGAAGGTATTGTAACCATAAGTAGGCAAGACATTTTATGCTCAGAAGGAAATGGCATTGACATTGGATAGCCTCTTATATGGTAACAATACATTACGTCATATTACATTTTTAATGCGGACGAAGGAATGAAATTCAATATGTATCTCATTTGAGAAAGGGATTCAGATTGCCAATTGACGATGTGAGTACGTATCCACGATTGGAAACGGAAGTGATGCATTGACCAAAGAAACATGCGCATCTACGTCACTTGAGAATATCTGCATAATCGTAAAATGCGTACAAAACAGTATCCCCACTTGTCGTCGAGACCAACTCGGCTTCCTTCGACGATGAAACGGCACTGTAGCTGTCGAGCGGCAAAACAGTCGTCGTGTAACTTTAGCGAACGAACAGCCGTTTCAACTTTGGATCACTTGTATGACAAATGTAAAATCATCGTTCTGTGTCCCAGGTGAAACGTGAATTACTATTTCGATTCAATCTGCAAAACGCATGTTTAGTCTGTTCTGGTCAAATTCAATTTTTAGCAGTTAAACAAGTTTTAATTAATTATTCTATTATTCATCAAGAAAGTTAAATTCAATTCGATGTGGAATACGACAGTGTGAGTATGACAATTTACATAATTATTTGTTCAGAGCTGAAAAAAAACAAAATCCTAAATCAAACTAAATACATTAAAAGATTATGTATAAAATTATATTATAAATATATAATTATAAATGTACCTGTCTTAGAATTTTGTTAAAAAGTTAACAGTACAATCTTTTTTTCCTCTTATTTACAGATATGCAATTATACATTATCGTAGGTATATGATTGCAAGTTTAATATACACTTTATTAAATAATATATATTCTTTTAAATTTGTTTCTAACATATACACACATTACTGTTTGCATTTACATACATACATGTATACTGTACGATGAAACCAAAAAGTTGGCGCAAACTGTCTCTGTAAGAATTTATAGCATCTATCCTGTTAATCGGGAAGTATCCTCCGCATAAATTTTAGCGTAGGTAAATCGTAATGTGACAGGCGCAAGATAGATCTACATCTAATTATAAATCTCTCCTGTTTATTATTTATTACAATTGTCACAATTCAAATTTAAGGATTAAAACTTGCAACTTTCCACGTTTAGACGTCATTAAAGTATATGAAATCATTAAGTTGATGAGGAACAGTAATATATATTGGTACTCATGTAATACGTTCAACCAGATCAGACTGCAGCAATCTTCGACTTTCGCTCCCTATATGGGCTAGAATCGTGACGAAGACATATCTCTCTTACCTCTCTTTTCAGCTCTCCTCTTCGTTTCCAACACCACACGCAGAGTTTTAACCCTGTCTCATAATCTTGCGTAAGAACTAATATCCAAAGTCACATTCGCCAGAAGATGTCCAAGCAAATGCGACGTATCAGTGATCACGTTCGAGAACATGTTAAACTATATTGTTGCACCCGCTGGCCCACTCGCGTGTTTCACTCACTCTTCGTGGAAAAGAACTGTTTATTCCTCGGGAATATAGCTACAGGTTAAAAATTCAATTTCGAATCGCTAAGCTGCCCGTCATCAAGGGAACATCGCATCTTCAATCTTTATACTGAAAGACAGTTTAATTCAGTTAATAATAATGTTACCATCAAAAATCGAAATTGATACATTCTCACTATATGTTATAATTTCATAAGTTAAATATGTACTACCACATTGAATGGCGTCACTATTGTGCAAATTTCGATTTTCGAATTATTTCTACGAGTATGTATGCACGCAGTTAGCGATGAAATTTACGTGTATGAAATAAGCGAGAACGGAACGAACGTTGATAAGAAACAGTAAACACGATTCAGTTCCGTTGAATTTACTACTTGCAGTACTTGTAGATCTCTTGAGTTCTATGCATGTTCATATTTTATATGAATTCTTTGCAGCCCGACTATTATAGGGACGCACCTCACTTCCGACTGGTGGATGCAGGGCCACAATATCGGTTGGAAATACCTTACGCTAAGCTCGACTTTACTGGAACATATTCCGTGATAGCTCGCAACTGCCATGGAGAAGCTAAAGCTGTAATTTCCTTACAGATATATGCCAAAGGTAAACTTGGAGAAATGAACAAAATTTACTTTACGTTGAACAAATGTTATTCAACGATTTTTTTTCAGGACAAGGCAAAGACGAACAAACGCAGAAATCTCTTCATGGGTGAGTTATTACGAAACGCGCATATATACGTTTCTCTTTATTTGCATCGTTTCATTAATAAAATGTTAAACTTTCTAGAAAAGTATTGACACTGCCGATTATAAAGAGAGAATTGCGAGATCTTCGGTGTTGCGACGGTGACGCTATCTCCTTGGAGTGTAAGGTTTATGCCACACCAGAACCACCTTTGATTCGTTGGGAACGTGGAGGCAAAGTAATAAGAGATTTAAATGATGTCTTAGTAATGTCGCACATACCTGATAGATTATTATTTAAAGTACCTTTCATCAGATTATAGCCATGGTGGGCGATTTTGCTTCCGAATTCGATGGTGAAACGGCACGATTGAGTATCCAGCATGTCTATCCCGAGGATGAGGGAGAATACACGTGTGTGGCTTACAACGACCTTGGAAAAGCATATACGTCAGCCTGTTTAGTTGTAGATGGTAATTTTATATTACTTTTTCTCTCTCTCTCTCTCTTCGAATACAGACGCGGTGCGAATTGTGAAACACATTTGTATTATTATGCCGATTAATTTGCAAAGTTGCGTAACGACATGACTAATAAACATGAGTTTATCATAATTTCGTATAGCACGTACTATACATATAGCACATACTTGGTGATATGTATCTTTATCGAAAAACTTGAAACTTTGTAAATGTTTCGAAGGCGTAATGATTTGAATTAATGTATATGTTGTAGTCCCCGAAGGAAAAGAAAGTATATTGAGCCAAAGATTGACGAGACCAATGGGTCTGCTGTCAGCAGGATCGACTCCGAGATCAACACCACGATCGACGCCTATTCGAAGCTTGTCACCGGCGGTTTCACGTAAATCTAAAATAAAAATATAAAAATTAATTTTATAGAAGAAAGCGTAAAGTTTAAGAAAGGGATTAGAGAAATATTAAACAACAAAAATAATCAAATAAAAAAATTATTTTCAGATGGGCGCGAACTCAGATCACCGCAAGTTCTGCTACGAGGTGACATATCAAGGAAGCCGAAAGTTTGCCCGCCGAAATTTTATGCAGTGCCGCACAATCGTCTGGTTCAGGAAGGCGAAACTGTGCGTTTCCAGTGTGCTGTAGTTGGTCATCCGGTGCCTTGGATAAAATGGGACAAGAATGGTACCGTTGTAACACCGAGCACGAGGATCTCCATTAAAGAACGGGATGACGTTAAGATACTTGAAATCGTCGACGTAATACAAGAAGATGCCGCTCTTTACCGAGTGACAGCAGAAAACGATTTCGGTAGAATTGAAGCCAGTGCTCGTCTCGAAGTAATAAGTACGTATCTACGTATGAGATATAAAAAAAATACTTTCTTTCTATCTTACAAAAATCTTATTCTATAAATGTGCATTAATTGTATAAGATCGATACGAAGCGACAAGTCGAACTATCAGAACTAGAAGTGCCTCACCTAGAACATACCCTTCGTTTGACCGAAGTCTTCTGCCAACTACCAGTAGAATAAACAGCCGTCTGCAATTGGAATGCCGCGTAAGAGGAACGCCGAGCGTGACATCAACGTGGTATAGGTAAAAATTCGGGGATTTTTCATTGCGTAAAACAAGTTTGCAACAAAGTATCAGTACTTATAAATTTTGTCTAGAAATGGGCGACCGTTGGAGCGATCCTCCAGAATAAAAAGACATTTCGATGGCACAACTGCTAAAATCGAAATACCAAAAGTGAAAGCAAGTGATGCGGGTGAATACACCTGCGTAGCGACTAATATTCTTGGGTCAATAAGAAGCAGTTGTCAGGTGAATAAGAAATTACACAAAGAAATACAATTTATCGTCAATTTGTTAACAATGTTCTTTTAGCTCTTCTACTACATCATTTCTTTAATTAAAAATATATGATTGTATACAGGTGACCGTGTTAGATCCCCACAACTCGTCTATTGCGGACAAAAATCCACCGCGATTTCGGCAATCATTGCCAACAGAATCAATTGTCATGGAGAATTATTGTTATGAATTTCAAACCGGAATTACGGGTAAAATTAATTAATTAATGTTTTAATTAATAAACAATTGTTAAACTTATATGTTTAACTGAACTAAGTAAATCTTTTAAAACAAAATCTTTTTTCTCTATTGTTTCAGGTACACCTCCTTTCACGATTACTTGGTCCAAAGATGGTCGTAAATTACCTGACAACGATTATTATAAATATATTGTATATGGAGATGGAGGTATTGCTCTTAGAATATCGAAAGTTCGTCCACAAGATGCTGGTGAATATACCTGCGTTGTACAGAACGATTTTGGTGTTGCATCATGCAGTAGTCTTTTTGCCGTGCAAGGTCTGATTTATCTTTCAATTTTTAGTTTGATTTTAATATTATCACTAGATTATTTTCTTATTTAGTATTATCGCTTTACATTATCTCTTAACTTATCTCTTAACATTTTAACACAGATTACAAGGACACTGTCAAGTTGCCGCTACAATTTACAAAAACTCCGCTATCAGTTATTGCCGCTAAAGGCAGTACGGCTTGTTTCTGTGCAAGAGCACAGTGTGGGAAATCTATGGAAATTATTTGGAAAATTAATGGAAAAGATGCTCGAGAAAATGCAAGATGCAAAGTACGTAAAATAAAAATAAAATACACTTTATCATTGGTTGTAAATTATATGTATCTCGAGTGCAATTATTACTAATTATTATTTGTGTGTTTGAAGATTGAAAAAGATGGTAGTGTCAGCATCTTACGAATACGTGACATATCATTACGCGATACAGGAGAGATTCGATGCATAGCTACCGTGAATGGAAAGGGTCCGACCATCAGTTGCATTGCCAAGCTGCAGTTACAAAATTCGTTATACAATTTCAGTGACTTCGCGAAGAAGTCTGAAGATATTCAATCTCGTGCAGAGGTCAAATTATCATTAACAAACCCTAATCTTGCCAGCATGCCGGAAAAAATGGCAAATCAATCGTCATTAAAATGTCGAAGACATCACGATAAGTCGCTAATACGTACCAGATCATCTTCGTTTCCTCGATGTACTGCATCGAATACTAAACATATTTCTCCTTTGCCAATGAGAAAACATATTTCTAATAATGCGTCAAATAATGTCCACAACTCACGGTTTGCTGACGATTTACCTATACAAAGAATTATAAAGAAAAGTTTAGACAGTAACCTTTTCCAATTTTCAAAATATCAAAGATTAAATGAAAAAGATATAGCTAATTCTTCCGTAAAATTGTTATCGCCAAGAGAAATGGAACAATGCCGTCAGAACATTGACTCTACACCGAGCAAGAAACATGTGGAATCGTATCCAGAAGAGTTGATAAAAGCTACGATAATAAAAGAACCAACTGACATTAGCGTATTTAAAGGAAACAGGACAGTAATCAAAGTAACTTACGAAGGGTGTCCCGAACCAACAGTCAAGTGGCTTCAAGTGGTAAGTTTAATTCTTTTACTTTTAATACGAATTTTATTCATCGGTCTACAGAGGATTTAATTTAATATATATTTTATCAATAACTAATTTTGCCTGTGAAAGAGATTACTATTCTCAATGAGCGTTCTATGCTGCTTCGTGATATGTGTATAAACTACGATATCAATATATGCAACACGATTGCATTTAATCTAAACAGATTTAAGCGCACATCACAGCATGAATACGCACGACTATCTTCACACAGAAATTAATCATTGAGAATGATCGTTTGCTTATCTTTGGCCTCGGGAATTACATATACTGAAATAATATTTCTTACTATAATGCACATAAAATTCCCACCAGAGTCGTAACAGACGTTTAAACTTTGAGAAAGCCAATCGAAATACGTAGGTCGGTCGTCATGTCATTTGCTTCTCGTCACACAGCCACGTGTGCAGCTGGCGTGGATCAACTTTATTTGTGTTATATTGATTCTTAGATATTGACACTGCCTCTGACATATTTCGGTGTGTAACATATGGTAAAAGATTTTTATTTGATTTCAAGAATCGAGAATTGCAACCAGGCGAGAAAATTGGAATTGTCAGCAGGGACGGTACATCTTATCTGACGCTGGACGATGTGACATACGATCACGCTGGAAAATACCAAGTCTCAGTGGAAAATCCTTTAGGCAAAGCTCGAAGATTCTTTAGCTTAGCTGTGGAAGGTAAACTGTCTACTTATATTGTTTGCTTTCTCTGTCATACACCAAAAATTTATGGCACTACTAGCCTATGACTCAGCGCTACTCCACTCGGCCTTGATTTAATCGAAGTTGATCGACGGTGCTCAATTATAAACAAATTTTTACGATTGACTGTTCGACATGTTCACAAACAGAGATATCGTCCATTGTTCCATGTGCATAAGTGCGTGTTACACAGTCCAGTTCCTTTTCTTGCGTACAAGGTAGACAGCAGTCTCACGTGACATACCGCGCAATAATTCCTCCTTTCCGCGCTTCCTCCACTCTCGCACCAGTTCCACCTCTTCTTTCTCTTTCCTTGAACCGGCGCGGGCGTATGCCTAGGAATCAGAAGACGCATGTATCGTGAAAAGGAATATACGTGTCGCGGCGCATCTGAACAACGTAACGTCATCTTAACTAACGTGACGTGCAAATTCTTTCAAAACACATTACCACAGTAAAATTTAAATTAATCGCACGAACTGCAGATAAGATAGTAACCGCGTGTTATAAACAGTTTATTTAAAGTGGGTTTCGGTGATTTACATGAATGGGAATGTAGTGCTTAAACATCTCGTTCTTGTTAAAGGGAGCTTTTGATTTCTACTCAGGTCCACCCGTATCACTCGCGGATAAACCGAGTGTAAGCTTCAACGCTGGCCAGATTACAATCGTTTGGCGATCTCCCTCTTACGACGGAGGTCGAACTGTGACCGGATATACTGTGGAAGCAAAACGTGCCGGTGAAAGCACGTGGATGACAATTGCAGAGTCTTGTCATTCGCTGAGTCATACGGTAGCAATAACTGGAAAGAATTTCGTGACACCGGGTGAGAGTTACTGTTTCCGCATCCGAGCTGAAAATATCCACGGACTCAGCGATCCTGGCATGGAATCCGACCCTGTCAGAATCCCAAAACAAGAAGAAACGATGCTTCAAGAGGAAGAAGGTAATTTACTCTTAAAGGTCCTTGAAATTATATTCTCTTATAGCTCTTGTAATATCTTATTCGATCTATCTAAAAGTATTTAAAACATTATCCTGAGATATGTAAATGGTAAAAATTTAATTATAATCCTTAAAAAATGATAATTTATTTGACTTTTTAAGACGAATTTGAAGCGAGCTTTGAAGCTCGTTTAGTAGTACCGGAAGAGGGCAAACTTTTTGGCGAAAGATACGACGTTCTCGAGGAATTAGGAAAGGGACGATATGGTGTAGTGAAGAAAGTCATCGAACGATCGACAGGCATGAATTTTGCTGCCAAATTCGTTAAAACGATTAAAGCGAAAGATCGCGAACAGGTTCGCGAAGAGATTAAAATTATGAACGCATTACGGCATCAGAAGCTTCTACTACTGGCTGCCGCTTACGAAAGTCCTCGTGAAACAGTGCTGATCACGGAATAGTAAGTACATAATTTAATATCGCGTTCATTAGATGAATTAATAAAGAATTTAATTTCAACGATATTATAATATCTATATATTCTTTTTTAGCATTTCAGGTGGAGAACTGTTCGAGAGAGTAGTGGCTGACGACTTTACTTTAACCGAAAGGGACAGCATTCTCTTTATGAGACAAATTTGCCAAGGAGTCGAATATATGCATCAAAATAAAATTGTGCATCTAGATTTGAAAGTGCGTTTTTCACGGATTGTAGATGTTAATTTGATACACTAACTAGATAATGTTTTCCTTTCATTTTACAGCCAGAAAATATAATGTGCCGTACGCGAACTTCTCATCAGATTAAACTAATTGACTTTGGATTGGCCCAGGCTTTAAAATCTGATACACCGATTAGAGTACTTTTTGGCACACCGGAATTTATTCCACCGGAAATTATAAGTTACGAACCTATCGGCACTGAGTCAGATATGTGGAGCGTCGGTGTAATTTGTTATGTTCTGTAAGTGTTGATTATTTTCAAATAATTATTTTTAAACAATATAATCCAATTGGCATGCTTTTTTGTAATCAATTATTATTGGTGTAGATTGACCGGTTTATCGCCATTCATGGGAGACAATGATGCTGAAACTTTTGCGAATATTACACGAGCGGATTACGATTTAGAAGACGAAGCTTTCGATGCCATTTCGAATGACGCTAAAAATTTTATCAGCAGTTTACTTGTTAAACGAAAAGAGTAAGCTTTTATAGCTTTCTTATTATAGAGGATTAGTTACAGTTTAGTCACACGTAAACTTGAATTTACCTGTATATATTCCTTGGTATAGATTACGCATGTCTGCCACGCAATGCTTGGAACATCCGTGGATGGTACAACATGCTACGGCTATGAGCAGAGTAGTTTTGCCGACAGAAAAACTAAAGAAATTCATCATACGGAGAAAGTGGCAGGTGTGTATTAACACATTTTATTCAAAATTATGTTAAAATATGTTATTGTTTGGAATATTGTTAGAAATTGAGAAGAAAAATTTTACAAATTTAAAATAGATGAGCATTACTTTTGAATAAACAATATTTGAGATAGTATGTTTTATTAAAAATAACAAAATCGGTAAAACTTTACCTGACATTTAATGATATGTTTTACGTTGCTTACTAGATTTTCTCCATTGACCCAATAAATTAGCATAACTTTTTTAGCTTAAACTTTGTTTCAAATAATCTTAGCATGTATTTAAGTCTGCGGTGTGCATGTGCTGTGTGCCTTTTATTTTAATAGAAAACAGGAAATGCTATTCGCGCGTTGGGAAGAATGGCGATTCTTTCGTCGTATGGTAGACGTAATCCCACAACAATAGCAGAATCACCTACACTTGAACAACAGTTCGATAGCATTGAGATGCAAGATTCTGATGGAATTAAATCAATTCGTACTACTGTTGATGAAGATACAGAACACGATGAGGCAAGTACGAAAGAAAACTCTGTGGAAACGCAGACAAATTCGACGTTTGTGGCGGAAGTAAATATGACAGTACAACAAACATCGACAAAGGAAGAAAGTAGCTTAAATGATTTTTCAAAGCGAATGAATATTGAAAAAGAGATGCCTAGATTAGACACCGAATTAATACCAAAGGCAGAAGACATTCCAGAAAACGTCATGGAGCATTTAGAGCTTTTAGTATCGAAAGAAAATAAGGAAAACAACAAAGAAACAATTGATAGATCTTCTGAAATAGAACAACATATGATTCTAAAGTCGCCGACGTTGCATAAGATATTTCGAGGTGATTCACGCGATTCTGGAATAGGTGATTGCAGCTCGAGCTTAGCGACTTCTTCATTACAAGTAGATGAACTAGGAATGGTGTCAACTATTAAAGAAGAAATAGATTCTGAGACTCACGATCGAGAAAGCAAACGAACCTTAGAAAAAGAAGAAGATTGGCGAAATTTAACGGCAGAAATCTTAGTAAGTTTAGTACAAGACAAAGAAACTCTTCTTAGCGACACGGAAATTACTGAGGACGATGGCAAGGTAGCTACAAAGTGTAACTTGACTAAAGCTTCGTGTGAAACTAATTCTGTGCAGAAAGGTGTGTGTAAATGTCATTAAATTTGCTTGTAATACAATAGCAGAATCACAAGCAATTGCAATTATTTACCTTGAAAATAAATTAAATGACGTTATTAAAATATTTCAATTTCGCAGTTATCGACGAGAATACGGACACAAGGATATTAAGCAGACATAATCACGATAAATTTCTTCCAACCGGAAACGTAAGTCGTACAGCCAGGATATTTGAAAGAGAAAGTGAAGGCTCAAGTTTGAACAATTCGCAAGTTTCGATGGCACAGCGTGCGTATCCTGCCACTATAATCACAGGAAAGCCGCACAACGAGAGAATACAGAAAGCTTTCGCATTCTGGAACAAATAAAAAATATGTTTTGAAATACACATTGAATAGTACACAAATCGGAGTATGTAAATGAATCGTCGTATCATTTTCAAGTAAAATAGAAACATATTGTTTGCGAGAAGTCACGAATTTGTAGAAAGATTGTACTTTAGATACGTATATAGAGGCGTGGTATACAATTCATTAAACAGTCAGAATTTTTGCATGTTTCTAACATTGAAAAATAAATTTCCATTAATTTATCAATTATATTAACACAATTTCGATTTGATGGAAGAGATATGCTCTTATTGTTAGAATGAGCGATTATTTCCATGGAGAATTTATCCAAACAACAATTTTTATTAATCGTGTCGCAGCAAGCGGAAAAATTTGAGTCTCAAACTTGTTGTATTAAATATAACCCGCTTTTTAGTGTTTTTTTATTTAAACGCTAATTGTATCCACAAGTTGAAAGAAATACTTTTGCTATATCGAAATATATATATATTTCGTCATTTTATTTTTCAGTTTCAAAAATAATTTCAAAGTATACGTTATTGCTGCGTAGATATACAATTGGCACTTTTATTAGGTAACATGTTTTAAAATACGTGTATTGACGAACATCGTTAACAAACGTATACATACATATATACATATGTACATAATTGAATAAGCGACCTTTCGCTAAATAATTGATGATATTATATCCAGTATTATGTTTGGCAGAATGCATAAGTATACTTTGAATTTGAGATTGTTGATTTGCGAACATGTCCCCGCAGTTGTATCGTAAAGATGAGACGAACAATCTGTATTATTACTATAAGTTATTTACATAGAAAAATAAAGAATATATATATACCAGTTGTTGATATTAATACTCACACAAAAATATTTTACATTTACACATACACACACACACACACATATTAAATGTACAACTATAAGATTCTTATTGATATAGGTATCTGAAATACACATAATCTTGGAAATTTTACATTTTTAGTTGATATACTATATGTATATTATATTATGATATGGTATATACTATTATATATTTAGTTGATATACTATTTTGCAAAATTTTTATGGCTCCAACTCTTGCAATATGCTATCACAATCAGTAACAGTTAAAAGTTGACAAGTATCATCGATATTTAAATAATTAAAGGTGTCTGCTGTTGCTGGTGGCCAAATAGTAGTTACATGTTGATCTAAGACGGGTGTAGGATTTCTAAAAACAAAAAATATTTTTATTTTACTATCTTTTCTAATAATCTTTCAGTTGTCAATGTCAGTTGTATAGCTTCTGATAATTACCCGGTCTTTGCAAAATTGGTCCACATTCTCGTAAGAATTTCTAATATCTTCCGATCTTTTGTACCTATTGCCGGCGGTTTAGGATCATTAATTTTACACTTAGGCATATAAAAAAGGTACGACATATCATCGGTGTGAGAAGCTCCTAAAAAAGTATATAAATTATTGTATTATAAATAGATAAATTAATTCTTAATCACAAGAGTCTTATATAAGTTACGTGACTCCTATACCGATTGTAGTAAATCGGTTTCCCATAAGTTTCGTCTCAGTCATTTGGTTTCCAACATAAGAAAATTTATACAAATAAGTCGGCACTTGCTTCCTTTTTCTTCGTTTATCCACAAAATCATTAATAGGAATATTAAAATGCATGTCACTCAAGCATCGTATAATAGATGGGACACTTTCTTCAGTAAATGGTTTATTTTGAAAATATCTCTGTTTAATTCGTTCTGTCAACTGCATTATCTTTTGGGGGTTTTGCAAATTTGAAAAATTTTCTACGTAACGTGGTAGATCCGCATACATTGTCTTCAAAGTCATTTCGCTAGTATCTATTAACAGATAATATTAATCCATGAGTTTACAATGATTCAAAGCCATACTGGAAATTATTACATATAATAATGTATTTTAATATATGTGTAATATAATACATAACATGTGATAATATCTAGTATAAGTAAATTTGTTAATTTTTATTAATTTTTTATACCTTTCATAAACATAATATATTCATGAGAAGTGTAACCAAGCATGATTGGTATATTGTCGTTATCAAGTAACTGAGAGATGGGATATGGAAGAAACGGCCTTTTTGCTTTATCGTCGATTGTAGGTCCAAATGGGATATTAAGAACGCGCGCTTCCTATAAAACATATATCACACTTGGATGATTAGCGACAGTATTAATAAATTCTCACATTTAATATGATGCATTAAGATAGTTCAATTCTTGTGAACACAAATAAAAATTTAATATACAATATAAAAAATTATTTCTCACCTCTGGAGTGAGAACTTTATGTTGTGCCTTGACAATTTCAACGGTGGGTACTGTTTGAAGAAATTCAATAACTTTTTCAGGATCCTTAGAATCATTGCCAAGTATCGACGCAAGTTTAAAAGAATTGACTTCTGGCTGGCTTCTTACCATCGCCCAATCACAGGTAACTATACCACTCTGAAGAATAGCTTTGTGGAAGAGACCTAAAAATATGCATATGTGTGTAAGAGAGAGAAAAATAATATTAATATAAAATAATAATATTCTATTTGTGAACAAATTATATTTTTAATTTATTATTGCTATTTGTTAAGAATACATTATATATGTATATATATATATATATACCTTTAGCTAACGGTGACAACGTTAGAAAGTGTGTGGAACTGCTACCTGCACTAACGCCAAAAATAGTGATGTTATTTGGATCTCCACCAAATGCCTCGATATTTTCGTTGATCCATTTCAGTGCGGCAACTTGATCTTTCAGACCTTGGTTTCCACTTGCTACTTTGTGACCAAGATTTAAGAAACCTTGACAAATAAAACATCGGAAATTAGTAAACAAATAAGGATAAAAATGTGTACTCTGTTCTACATTTGTCGCTGATATGTGATAAGAATGTTTCAAACTTCTACACAAGAGATAGGGCAGAGAGGGGCACAACGGGAATGTCTTTTTTTAAGCGTTTTAAAAAATAAACAAAGAAAGATAGACAAGTAATTTTTATTATGATATAAAATGTAATCATTTATCTTTTATACATAAAAAACTGAATTTAGTCAACAAAATATAAACACTTTGTTTAACGAAAAAACAAAATATTGTGTAACTCCCCGGGTTCGGGGCACAACGGGAAGTACCCTTGTAAAGTACGTCGCCTTACAGATTGTATTCATTGTATTAGATTTACGCTTTGACTTCTTGGACTTTAATCTTTTTCTTCAAGAAGTTGGCGCCTGTAGGGAGATTCTGTTAGAATCACGGTTGCACCCCGACGTCAGAAGGATCTGCGTCCCATATTATTTGTTTAATGCACTTAATGCACTTAACAAGAAACGTGTTAATAATAAGAAATCACAGAATCGCAGAACGGAGAATTCGTATCTCTCCCCGTTATGCCCCGCACGCTTTTATAACTAATTACCCCTACTATGCACAAGATATTTGACACAAATAAACATGTTACACATGTGAAGGCATAAGGATAGTATATTATTGAAATCTACCATGTAAATTTTTAACTAAATATTCATCATTAGAAAATATGTAAAAAGGCAAAGAGAACTAATGTTGAACGAAAACTTGGAGAAAACACATTTTTACTAGTAAACTTATCCATTAATGACTGCAAAAAATGATAAACATATCGTAATTGTGCCTGATAACATATACACATACAACTAACACCAATATGCGTCTCATATTTTTCAAGTAAAAGCTAATTCCCTTTTATGTCCCACTCTCCCCTACGATTTCTCGAGAGCCTCTATCTTACCAAGAGCACCAAGTCTGTAGTTTATAGATACTAGAATGACATCTTTTGCTGTAAGGTAATCAGATCGTTTCGCAGTGTCGTTGCCGGAACCCATCACATAGCTTCCACCATGAATCCATACCATAACTGGATTCCCTGTCGTTCGATAGACATTGTACGGTACATAAACGTTAAGGTACAGACAGTCTTCGCTACCGATAATCTTTTGAGGTGGCACTTGTTCAAACTGTGCACAAACGTCGCCAGCATTTTTGGAAGCGTCTCGAATACCTTCCCAGGCAGCAGGAGGCTCGGGATCCTGATTTTGAAAAACAATAAAATGTGATTTAATATTGAGTAAAATAATGATTTACATCGCAATCGGGTAATTTATTATTCTTTTCCTGGTATACGAACAAAATAATTGCGATACGTTAGAATAAATGTGAAATATTTTTAAACAGACAAAAATATATAAAAATACATGACAAATTATTTAAGCTTGATAAATAAGACAAATAAGATTTTCCGGTAAGAAACACAAATGTCGCAATGTGACACAATGGCTCATTTATCGAATGCCACTGTGTGTCCCAGTGAGAAATGATCCGTCGAAACGATGTCGATTCGACATCGATCGACAAGTCTTTGGAGTTACACTGTGTGTCTCTTACTGAAAAAACGTTTTAAATTACCTTAAATCTCAACTGGCCCACTGGTGGAGCAGCAAAAGGTATGCCTTTGAAAGAGAGGTAATGAGAACCGAGAACATTTTCTTCAAAGATTCCTTGTAGCTTTCCTTGTTTCACAGTCACAACAGGTATATCCATGATGAAACAAGAACTGTTTACTTCATACTGAACTGTGTACGAACATACCTCGTACATGTATACTGTTAGCCATTTTTAGAGATACTGCTATCCTTGAACCGACTATAGCGTTTATATATTCAACATTGATAATGACGCAGATAATGATAAAGTATGATTAACGATAAGCAACAATTCATAACTTTATGTTTATGTCATACTTCTAACATATATTATTAACACATCTATAAGTACTCACCAGTTAAAACGCAAATTAATCCTCTAAAATGTTATTAGATTTTACAACTCGATTTAAAACGTGTTGAAACAATTTTATATTGCGACATTTATACTTCTTTGAGTTGTTGACGGGTGTGTTATCTTATATCTCAAACAGTACTTATTTTACAAGCTGTCTTTCATCGTTAATTAATGGTTTATCATATGTACTTTTTATCGCAGATCCGTATATATTGCTATCATACATAATGTTATGTATCTAAATTTAATAAAAAATTAAAAATAAATGTTTTAGTCTTATCAATTACGTTATATGTAAAATTGATATATCATATATTGATATAATATCCTAGCAAACACCAAAGTAACAGTTACATAACATTAATATAAATATGATGTGATGATATATATATATATATAAAACATAAAGTATTTTACACAGAGAAAAAGTTTTTCTAGTTATATATATTGATTACTAAACATTTGTTACATTGCACAACTAATTTACTTTTATCAGATGTAATGCAATGTATTTTTTGTATAATTCGCGATATTGTTGGATGCTTTAACTGATTTCTGAAGTGACCATCCGCATTGGCTCGTTGACATAGATAACAACTCGGCTACTTTATGAGTGTTCTGTTTTCCTTCCAAGGATGATTTTTTAATCTATTATGTTAGAAAATCATAATTGATATTATAATCAATAATTAGTCTTATAATTATCACATGTATATTTAAAATTTTTGTTTACAATAGCAATAAATTAAAAAAAAGAAATAAATAAATGAATAAAAAACCATTATCTCTGAAAATTAATGCAAATTTTTCGAATTATTCGTACAAACTTTAATTGCATACTTCAATCAAATATTATCACTTTTATGTTGCTATCTTAGATTTAGAACAATTAATGTTATTTGTTATTAATTATCATTACTTTAAAAGAATAAACACCTGAAAATAAATAACTATAGAAACTCTTTTACTTTCTATCTTCAAAACGTATGCAATCATGATAATTTAATATTCACTAACTTCGTCAAATTTTCTTCTGACTTTATATCCTCTATACGTAGCTTGTATCATAGTGGCTGCTTCTTCTTCGGATTTAGCTGAATCGGAATCTTTTGTACATCTTGAATCTTTCATCACTTTCTGTTGTTTCTTTATACCATTTTGTTCCCAGTGCTTACAATTATGAACTTTTTTTTTTGGTCGGCCTTCATATGTCGATTTATCCGTAATCTATGAATACATTGCTATTATATACATAAATCTATATGTATATAGTTGTATAATTAAATATCCATACAACACATAATTTGGATATAACATGCAATAATGGAATCACTTGGCTCATTTAAATCAAGAAATTTATACCATTGGGGCCTCATACTGATGATGTTCGTACATACATTTCGTATTTTTCAAAAAGTCCAAAGATTTTCGTGGTAATTCACCTGACGCATAATATTTTGTATCGTTAACAATAGATTTATTGTTTCTATTTCCGTCGCACTGTGCTTTGTTCTGCGAGTGAAAACATAGCATTATCCTAATGTGGGTGAAAAAAAAACTTAATTATAAATTGCTGCAACTATTAAAGAATCCTTAATTTCTGCTAAAGGTATTTGTTAAATAATCTTTTCATATAAAAATTAATTCGTAAAAAATGACAGTCAGTACTTATAACTGTAAAAAAAAGAGTTTGTATAAAATCAATACAACGTATTATGTATAATATATATGTATAATTAGAAAAATTAAGTTAACAAATATCTTTACTTATAATAAAATTCTTTATCTTTACGGCTTAAAATTAAACTGTCATATTAAGGTTTACTCACCGCTGTTATATTATTATTTCTACCCATATTACTAAGACAAGCGGTTAAGATTTCAGGTGACATGACCATGCCCGATGAAGTCGCGACTTTTGACACATTTTTTTTGGGTTCTCCAGTCTGCATTGTGTATTGCTCTAAAAAATAAGCATGAATATAGAATAAGTAAATTTCGATATATTAAGGTATATCGCAATCTTATATAAATTGCCAAATTATCAATTAAGAGAAAAAGAACTTGACGTAAGAATTTATAAAGATAAAATAGTTTTACAACTGCAAAATTTATTGATTGTCATCGCAAACTTTATAGTATTAAATTATTAGACACTTACTTTATACATATGTAACATGTTTTATAATGTTAATATATTTGCATTTATTTATACCTGAAAGATGAGAATCTGTGCAACAATGATTTTTATTGCAATCCGTATGTGTTCTCTCCAGAGATAATAATGAGCTATCTTTAGGAGGAGAAGTAGGAGGTGTAGGTTTTGCTCGATTTTTCCTTGTTTGCATTTCCAAGGTATTGATTTTTTGATACTCTTCAAGATATAACAGAAACTCGCGATACGTAACATAATTCTGAAACAAGAAATATGAAAACGAATTCTACAAATTCTAGTCAATTTTAGTTATTTTCAATAACAGTTTGTAATAACTGTTGCAGTAACATATTAAATAAAAGATGTAAATACTTGTTGAATTAATAAAGCTTAAATTACTTTGTCTTCTCCTGCCCAGTTGCGATTAGTCGGTTCACTAAGTCCAAGCAAATCGATCCAATGATAATAATCTTCAGTTTGATTACCATACCAATATTTTATAATAACAAACCTAGAAATTTTCTCATATTAATTATAGCTTACTTGTATTTTAACTTGATATTTTATACACGGATTAATTTAAAGCTTTCTAAATTATAAATGGAATTCATACGCAAGACCATCATCCACCATTTTTTGTACTTCAGGATAAGACATCAACTCCATAAATTCTGGATTTTCAGGATTTCTTTTGACATCTACCAATTGCCACGGAGCTATAAGTCCAAATCTAACACATTTCAGCACTTGTAACATATATTTCTTTCTTTCATTCCAATCGTGCATCAACCATCTTACGGCTGACATTAGAACTTCCATTTCGCTGTGAAACGAAAAAGGATAATTATATATTTTATTTCGTACTATTTATTATCACATTTTATGTTATTTACTACATTACTTGTTAACAATTTTTTAACAAATAATTTCTCACAAATAAATAAAATTTCAAGTAAAAATATCAACAATTTTTAGAAATAATTGGACTGTATAAGTCTTATAAAATTTTCTTATGCATAAAATATTGTCGAAATTCAATAATACCTATTGACGCAAATATAATTAGATTTTAATAACAAACATAGTTCGTCTGTTGACAATTCCAAAAAGTCCTTTGTGCTAACGAGCATCAAGAAAAATTTCATTATTCTCGGTACCATCAATTCCATTACTGCAGTATTTTCTATCTTCTTTGCTTCCAAGTATAATAGAAAAGCAGTATCTTCGGAGAAGAGCTCGTCGTTGTCAATAAATGCCCAGCATTGCTCTTCTAATTCTTTAAATAAGAAATCCGTTTTATTATATTTTTTATATATTTTATTTGAGAATGTTAATAGTTCAATTTTTTTAATTTCTATTCTCCTCGTTTAAAGAGCGAAAAATCCTATTTTAAAATAAAAATTTGAGATGTGAGATAAAATCGTACCTTTCATACCCAGATATTGCGCAGCCATGAAAATTTCTAATATATTATCTCTTCGTAATAGTTGGTAACTTTCGTTGATTGGACTTATCATCCAGTCATAAATAATAGAGAAAGCCTTGGAAGTCACGTTGCTCTACATTTCGTGGATAAAACAAATCGTATTGTCGCAATTTGAATTTAATTGTATTATTTCTTATTTTAATGTAAAGTAGTATTCATAAAAAAATTTTTATATAAAAAATTTTCCAAATTTAACGTAGCCACTTTTTCAAATTTCGAAAATATTTTCCAAAGATATTTATTTTACCTTATATTTAACCAAGTACAATTTAAATGAAATCTTACGTCAGACAAGTCGATAACTTTGCAATTTTGCTCATCGAAAAATGTACTGTAACTTTGCAGAACAAGGAGATGGCAATGAAACTCGTCATGATCAATTCGAACGACGCAGTCAGCATTCCTTGATAAAATAAATTAAGAGTTGCTTACTTTAAAATAATTTCATTTTTAACAAACTGTTAAACTAGCAAAACATAATACAGTATTATACAACTTCAATTACATCCTCTAAAATCAAATCATTTAGTTAAAAGACATTTAATATCTGCAATGTAACAAACAGAACATTTAATTAAGAGTTTTATCATTTAAGATTCTCTCTCTTTTCTTACTTATAATTTGTGATACGTCTAGCTAATTCCTGATACAAGTCAGTCTTTTCAGGGAGAATTATATTATTCCAATTGATCGGCTGCTCATTCGTAAATCCCAATCTGTTTAAAATAAAAAATAACAAAAACTAGAATAAAGACGAATATTACTTACTTGTAAAATGGTTATTTAAAGGTGTCTTAAAATTGTACAATTTAAGAAAACTAAAAGTTTCTCAAATTTCAGTGAACTAACGAGGCGAGTGGTACTTCGTTCATTGGAGGAAGTTGGTGAGATGTCGATTGAACCGAATGATTTTGATCCATTTCTGATGAATAAAACTTTGTACTTGGTTGCGTTCGTGATCTATAACTTCCTTCGATATATGGTAACTTCTTTTGTGCCTGTTGCACAGATCAAATAACATTTCGACGATCGAAAACAAAACTGTAACAAGACTCTGAGTTTCACCTGTAACTGATCGATCGTCGACAGCGTGATGCCAGGTGGAAGATCAATATATCTTGTTCGATTCGAGGAGTCAGATACGGATGTGCCAACGTTAACACCTGGTCGATTAAGCTCGGCCTTGACGTTGACCTTTGTGTGTCGCGGATCAGCAACCAAAACGCTGAACTTCCTCGACTCGAATACAACCTAGAACGACTATGCTATGTCTGCTTCGAGACCGACATTTCTGAAAGAGTTTCATCGCAGCATCTGCTAAAACAAAATCTTTTTTACCTGATTTGGAATGATCTTGAGATTACCACTAGGCGTAGCTTGAAAAGGAAACACACGACTCGTTTCGTCTATCTTATTCACGACGAATGCTGATTTAATGTTCGCTTCTTTCGAGCGAGCTTGTATCTGCTGCATCGGCAAGCCCAGATGCGAGCAAGGTGCCGATTGCCTTTGGTCTTTCGCGTACTCCGTCTCCACTCTCCTGCAAAGTTATATTTTTATCACTTTTGTCGTCTGATTTTTTGTTACCATCCAATTCCCCAGACTGTTTACCTTTGACGATAGTTCATAGGTTTCAAAGCGGCGTCTTCAACGCTGCATGAGCATCGTTTCTCCCAAGCTCTTTCTTCTTCGATACATTGAGGTGAACTTTGATTCGTTGCGTGTTTGTTGCTGTGGCAAGTAATTGTTCTCGATTGAGACCTGACAAAATCTTTGGGAAGCTTGCACTCTACGCACTGTGGATTCTTATGCTTGCAATTTATTTCTATTTGCCTTTTAAGCGGAGCCCACTGATACTCCAGCGGCGATACAAATCGCTCTACTTGATTCGCGTGATAAATGTTTACATTCAGAGAAGGCTGTTGCCTCGATACGCAGCGATATCTTTTGCAAGTTTTTCGTCGATGTAGTGGATATCTCGGAGACAGAGTTTCCGGAGTTTCTATGACTTTGGCCCTTTTTAAATACATATTTTTCGTATAAAGATAACTTAAACTGGTCAATTCTTTGGTCTTTTTTTACAGACTAATGTTTAAAAATTTATCTTGCTACCTTGCTATCACTCGTTCACTTACTTATGAGGTGATGTAGGACTTGTAACTTCCGATCGCGATACTTGCTTTGTTTGTACCGTTTCGTCGGATTTTGAAAGTTTGGAAAGCACGAGAGCTTTCGAAGAGGATGATGGAGGAATAGTGAATCTACCGTGATAAAGCACGACAACGCTGCTTTTACTGTTGCCTGTACGTAGTTGATAAGACGTTACCGATCGAATTGTTTTTGGACCGACTAAAAATTTCAAACTTTAAATTGATCTCTAAAAATTTTAGCTTTAGCAATTAACTCACGTTTCTTGCTGTTCTGTCGAATGGCCCTTACGATCCGTGGTGTACTGCTTTGCTTCCTGTTATCAGCGCAATACAATAGGTGCTTTAAACAAGATAATAGGAACAACTTGCGCCTCAAAACTTTAAAACGACTATAAATAAGAATGCATTTTTTTAAATAATTACCAAGTGTTCTCGTTGAATTTACATTTAAACTGCTCGCCCTCGCTCGAACGCTTTTCTTCGAAAGTTACCCCCTGTGGCTAGGAAACATTCGTCCACCAAAAATAATAGCATATTTTTTAACTCATTTGCGTCTCAATTGGTATCATAGAACACATTTATGTTAATTTAAAATTTTTTTATAAGATGAAAACGTGAGCTTTTATAAATTTGTACATTAAAAATGCATTATAATCCAGTTAATTAGACGTTATCAAGTGATGATTGCGAATGACAAATATATGTTTGATACAAAAGGCTCAATACAAAGTATTCTACATTATCTGCCTCATATCTTACCTCATATTTTTTCAAGCAGACATTTGATGTAGAAGATTCAATATTTGAGATACGTTGCGAAGCAGCTACCTGGTCAACCTCTCTGGTAACTAAAATGTATCTCCACAAAATAATAAGTATGTAAAAAATATATAATGACAAACAAAAAGTTCTACACTTTTGTCAAGTAATACATGGAATCCTTTATCACATATTTGAATTGTCATACATTTGGAATTTATCAACACTTACATCACTTACATAATTTTGCTTCAACAACTTGTCTATTAACGATTGGATCTCGACAGCAATGTAATGATTTTGACGGAAATTTCAGACAATTTAATTGATCGTTCCTCTTATTTCTAGATGCTCGGCAGACAGGGAATTTTCGACAAGATTGTGTCACTCTTGGATACAAGATATCAGTGATTACAGCTTTTTAAGATATAAATGCATCAGGATTAGAGCAAACGTTACTTTGGATTTGGTAGATCAAGATCCGATGAGAAATACAAATCGTCTTCAGTTGTTGAAATATCAAACTGCCTCTGCACAATATATATGTACACAACGGTTTTGCATAAAGAAGATTCGAAATTGATGGCTCTTGATTAATGTATGTATTAAGTTTGCACTACACTCACATCATAACGTGCGGAGCTTCTTCGCATGATACGTGTCACGTTCAAAGTATGACTCGCGGAATTCGCATAATAATAACGAAACGCTTCCTTTTCGTCCCTGCCACTTGAAAGAAAAAATAATAAAAATATATATCTTGTATAAATAAATGCTATGACACTTAAAATGAACGGGACATTTGCAAAAGTGCGCGTGTCTAGAAAGGCCTTAGATACGTAACAGCTAACAGATGAATGAGATGACAAGAGAACGTCCCATTCCGTTTATAAAATTGTTTAAACTGCACAATTTGAATCATAATATGCACATAATAATTAAAATACGCATGCTTTTATATTATAAGAATGTTATGCAAGAGCTGTTGGCGAATATATATTGAAAACATAAAAAACATGATATTTTCGTTATTTGCAATAAGTGAAACAAAAAAAATGGTTGCACAGAAAGTTTTTTTAAGAGTATCTTGTAACTGAAAAATATAACATTGTATTATATCGTATGGAGATGATGAATTTACGTGAAACAATGGAAATTTCCTAGCAAAACCGTAGGCTTCGAGATGCACATTGTGCTCGACAGTCCGGCTATTAACTACGACTATAAGCGAGCAATTAAAATAATTTTGTGATGGTGCCGACAGAACGCTCACAGAGAGAATTATTAAAGGCAATGGTGCGAATGGATGAAACGTTGAAAGTTCCCTGCAGTTCTCTCTGAGCACATTGTCCTTCTACAGTTCTATTGATAGGTGTGAAATGCAGTTCTTTGATGGGCGGAATTACAGGATCAATAAAGTCCTTCTATCGTGTGTCGGACAATGGCCATATCAAACGAATAGAAGTAGCAATGCTATTATTGTCATCATAGTGTCTTTAGCTGGCACGCAATTTATCGCCAAGGTATGACGACGCATGTTTGAATATCGTAGACTTAATTGTTCGTTGATAAAGGAAATTTCCATCGATCTATTATTATTTGTTAGATGACTACATTTGTTGCGTATATTCCATTTTACGTTCATACACAATGTCTATAAGCAACATTTAAATGCTGTATGTTTTCATATTTATAACTTTATGGTTTAAGCATAGATATGTGGTTTACTCTCTATTGACAACGTTGATGTATTTATCGATTCTCTTTCACCAATGGTAGTCGATATAGGATGTGGAGTAAAATTAATCACTTGCATCTTAAAAGCAACAGAGGTATGTAAAAACACACATTGCGATATATCTACATATTACAATACTTTCTCAACATACACACCCACTTGTTGTGCCTTTTTATCTAAGCAATTATAAATGGTAATTTTTAGCCATAAGAAAAATTAAAAATTTAGCTTTTCTTTACAATAATATTAAATCACAGATCAGAGCACTTTTCGATCAAATACAATACGATTGGCAATTATTAATGACATCTCCATACATCAAGATTCTTAAGAATTATGCGCAAAATGGGCGGACGTTTACAATCATATACGCGAGTAAGCATAATGATTGTATGTTTAGTGAAGAAAAAGTTCTACAAGAGAGATTTTTTACATTACTAAGAAAATTATTTTCTAGAAGCAATTTTAATAATATGAGCGTACATTCCTTTTTATTGTAGAACTTCTTTTTCTAAGAATATACAAACGATTTTATTTTGAAGTTACAACAATAATTAAAGGTAAAGACTAAAGATGATTAACAACATATGAATCTATATTATTTAGGCGCCTTTTATTCCGCGCTGGTGTTCTTCATGTTAGTACCATTGCAACCATTATTACTGGGTTCTTCTTCAAATGATACAGCTCGACCATTGTTACACCAAGTTGAGTACTATATCGATATGGAGAAATATTACTTTCCAATCTTAATTCATGGATACGTTACAGCCGTCATTTGTGTAAGCATAGCCATCGCGGCAGACACAATGTACGTAATAGTAGTGCAGCATGTCTGTGGACTATTTATGATCATCGGGTAAGAATATCATAAAATTTCATTTTAATCGTAATTTGGAATTTGTATGAATAAATAATTATGAAATTGTTTGTTAATTGCATCAGGCAACAACTTGAAAAATCAGTAAAAGAAGGTAATCTAGAAATAAATTTTAAACCATCTATAAAAGATGATAAGCCGTATGAAAATATAGTAAACAACATTTATGCACACAAGAGAGCTCTAAGGTGCTGTAATACAGAATACATTATTATAAAAATATTGTGTAATCAATTGTAAAATTTATGATTAAATTGACTCAAGTATTATGTTCCTCCTTCGCGTATAAAGATTTGCCAGTCTCATTGAAGCAGCTTTCAGCCAAATGTTTCTTATAATAGCGGGTTTCAACATGCTCATCATAAGTATGACAGGCGTTACTGTATGTTTATTCGTCTTATAATAATGATAAACGTTTTTTTGCGTTTAATAAATTATTAATATAGAGAAAACTTAATTGCTTCAACATCCACTTTAAAGATTATTAAGAAATGAAAATACTTTAATGAATAATTTAGTAATATTCGGTAAAACCGAATGTATAGATTTGAAATATCAAAGTACTATTTATTCTCTTCAATATACAATATGAAATCTTTTTAGGCAGTTACAAATGTGGACCAGCCAGAAGAGTTTTTAAGACAAATAACATTCTCATGCGCATTATTAGTGCATCTATTTTTTGAGAGTTTTCAAGCGCAACGTCTAATCGACCACAGCACATATATTCACACCAGTTTGTACGTACGCACATTTTTGTATTGTAAGAAAACTTTTTATCGTAATCTCGTTGAACACACATTTAAAATATTCACAATACCTATATAAAAGAAAATTCAGCACAAAGTGTAAATTTTGTGAATACAACGAATTGATGAGTTTACAAAAGGCATCTGAAAAAGAGAAATAAAAAATTCTGCTTAACTGAAAATTTATAAATACAAATCGTTATATTTTATTTGCAGAATGAACATAGCATGGTATCAAACTTCATCTAGAACAAGGAAAATCTTAATTTTTATGATAATGAAAACGCGAGAACCTTGTGTATTAACAGCAGGAAAAATGTTTGTTATATCTATGGATACGTTCTCTACGGTAAACATAAGCATGTTATTGTATATACACATACCATGTATAAAGTACCTTATTCAAACTTTGCAATTTTAATACCATTTATTCTTTTTCAAGATTGTACGTACATCGGTGTCATATTTTACAATGTTGCGGTCGGTGCAATAGTTGATTTCTTGAACAAGACTTGACATTTTCGAAAAGGTATTATATTCTCAAAACGTTATACATTTTTATCAGTATCTCATGCTTGAAATATACGCAACAAAATAGAAAAAAATAAAAACATATTCACATGCAGTAATATAAAGTATAAACGAGATATAAAAATAAAACTTTGAAATTACAGTATAGTGACATAAAGAAACTACTACACTTTCCTCATTGTACAACAAATGTATATGTATATCACCTATAAATGATAACACTTTAATTTAATTTATTTTTATTTTATTTAATGTTATCTATATTGTAAGTGAAATTCGTTTTAAAAATGTTATTTTTGTAGGAACATCGTAAGGCATTCCCACGTTTGTTTTTATTTTATTTGGATTGAATCTTGTATTATATTCAGGTACGCCATTCCGAATGATTTCTAGAAATCTGTAAGAAGTATAGATTTATAATACAAAATTTTACAAATAAATAGAGTTAACTTTTATATTTTGTATATGTATATATGCATCTGTGTTTGTTCTGTGCGTATGTCTAATGATACAAGTAAAATTATTGAAATTACTTTGCTGCATAATGTTCGTTCTCAGTAATATATATAATATCGTCGACGTATCTACATAGAAGACTGTTGTGTGCATATTCAGAGAATATCTCTTTAGACATGTATTGGTAATATATATCAGACAAAATCGGGGATACCCATGCACCTTGTGGCACCCCAAGTTTTATTGAATATATCTGATCGTTCAATTTAACCTACAAGAAAAATATTATTTAATGTTAACTGTAAATTAATTTCATGCACATTTGTTTTACCTTTTGGTGAAATATTAATTTGTATATCTTATCAATCAACTTTTTTGTTTGAACTAATTTCGGTTTTTCTCCGCTTGGAATTGCATTTTTGGAAATTCGTTTCCTAAGTTTGTTACATAAAATTTGCACGGTGTTTTTTCTTTGGCTTCTTTTTGGTTTCGACAGGATAAAAGTTCGTACTGCGAGGTACTTTCCTAATTTTTGTTTGCAACACGTAATGATAATATCGTATAACTTTTCTAAAATAAACCACAAAATACAACACATAATGTCCTTATTGACTAAAGTGTTAAATGTAATAAACAATAAGTTATACGTTGTATAATTGAACCAAATGCATCTTGTATGTCACAAAGAACAAAATATAATTGTTTCTTAGGTCTTGAGTTTTTAAAATTCCAAATAGCCTTCCTGCAGCTTGCTATAGTTGGGATTCCATTGTTATTAAAATACGTGATATATAATTGTTGGAGAAATCTTAAAACAACGTCGGTATCGTCATACTTTTCTTTAACATTGTACCTAAAATTATTTGTGTACAATACATATATGTATTGAGGAGAGTAGTATTGGAAGAATATTTATTATACAAATATTTATGTACCTGGCTAAAAATAAAGCTCTCACACCAGAAGAACTTGGAATAAATTTATATGTCCCGAAATTACGCATTGTACTTGGTAATCCCGTATATGGTACAAGACTAAGAGTATTCTCTTTTTCCCTTATAAATTCTTCTTGCATGTTACACCAATTATCTTTTGTGATATAAACCCATTTCTTTTGAATTACTTTCAAGACCACATATTTATGTAAAATCTTTATGATGTATTGTGCAAAAAACCAATGCAACAGTTTCAGTACGACTATCCATCGTACTGTACCATTATCAATTGAATGTAACCATCTAATGCTAGAAATCTACAAAAAAAGATAGTCAATATTGAACATTTCAATTGTCAAATTACTCAGAAATGATAAGAACTGTCTTGATCAGAACTTTGCACAATATTTGCTTCATCTTTCAATGAACGTACATCCAGTTTGTTGAATAATGGTTGCAAGTCTAATGACGCCCCAGTCACAATTTTGGTTTTTCCTACATTTCTTTTAAAGGCACGTTCTATGGACATCTTTCCTGGAACTGTCTTCAAAAGACGACATATTGTCTTCTTTATAGCCTTTCGATTTCTTAATGTGCCAAATAATTCAAGAGGGACGTTTCTGTACAGTAGCAAACTAAAGAAAGATTGCAGCAAACAGATGTCAATTTGATTTTTGTATTTCTGGGTTCTTTTCCCATGGCCATTTTCGGTCATATATTTCAACTTGTCCAAATAATTAAATCTATTATGCCGGATCTTGAATGATTCTAATATCGGTGACAATGCAGGAATAACACTATCCAAATTAATGTTTCTGTAGCATCCACCAAGTCCAATGTCTGTATCCAGTATGTTACGACATATGTCTCGCCCCGTATTCTTGCTCTCTAAAATATGATATTTGGAAATTTTTGCTGTGGTACAACCTGTCTTCCTTAATAGACATCTAGATGAAAACAATTTCACTTTGGATCTATAACTTTCAAGTGGAACAGAACTTGTCTCTGCTTTTGACTTTGGACATCGTGCGTCTTTAAATGTCCCTCTTTTATTATACGAAGCATATTTTTTCCTAGAAAAGGTATTTTTTTTAACAGATTCTTGAACAAAAGAAAATAACGTGCATACTTCAAAATTTTTCAATTAACACTGCTGACTAGGCTATCTACTAAAAAAAAGAGATGTACCAACATATTCAAAGGAAGAAGATACTAAAAGAAAAAAACATAATAAAAACCTGTTATTTGTGAAAGGCAGTTTGTAATAATTGTAATTCATTTTATCATCTCAGCACATTTCCGTCAGTCCGTCACACGAAGATATATTGAGTCACGAAATATTGAAAACATCAGAGGTCTATTCGCGTCGCTCTGCTGATTCCAGCGCCTTACGCCCATTTTCATTTTTGGAACTACTCCGCTACACCCATTCTCAAGCACTGCCGATAAAGTCTGCACTTGGTGCGTGTCAGTGCTACGTGCCCATTTTTCAAGTGGGTAATGCAGTGCCCAATTTTGGTTGTGTTCCGTACTGCATGCTTGAGAAGTCAGTGACACGAGAGTGTTATTCATTTTTCGTCGAAATGTCAATCAATCCAAAATCTACGATCTAAAAATGTAGATTCCACTTTAATAAAAAACTTGTCACTCACCGACACGATGCGCTGCAGCGGCGGATTGATTCTGCAATGGCGCCCGATGCCTCCTCGTCCACTCGGGTGTCGTTGTCTCAGCTGCCCTCCGACACACTCGCGAATTTACACTTCCGTTTGTAAAGTCACTTGTCACTGTCGCTGTATCCAAATGCCACTTTTTCGGTTTTCACTGTGTCCGATTGTCACTGAGTCCGACTGTCACCGAGTTCGATTGCGCACTACGAATCGTTTGATTACAACGTCGCACTGATACCCGCACAAATCACTGAAGGTGGAGTCCCATGGAGCGGAATACGCGGAAGCGGAATCAGCGGATCGCCAATCGCAAGATTATTCTGATAGAGCCCTTTCAAAAATTCCGTCGAAACGGTCTTGTGATTGGCGATCCGCTGATTCCGCTTCCGCGTATTCCGCTCCATGGGACTCCACCCTGACACAAATCGCGGGAATTCAGCGATCGCGCGACGATATCAATCACCGTGTATTCGCGGAGAACGATCGCGGTTTCTTCCCGCACTAGTCGCGAACGCGTATCAAGAAAGAATAATACGATATGCGAAGCGGCGGGGGCACAATTAACCGATCAATTCGACTGCCGCCGCGTCAATGATCTTGTGTACGGCACCGAAAACCGAACGCGGATTTCAAGAAACGACGTAGCGCCGAAACACTCGCGAATTTACATTTGCGTTTGTAAAGTCACAATTGTCACTGTCACTGTTTCCAAATGTCACTTCTTCGCTTTTCACTGTGTCCGATTGTCACTACGAATTGTTCGATTACGTCGTCGCACTGATATCCGCACAAATCACTGACACAAATCGCGGGAATTCAACGATCGCACGATGATATCGATCATTGATTATTCACAGAGAGCGATCGCGGTTTCTTCCCGCACTTGTCGCGAACGCGTATCAAGAAAGAATAATACGATACGCGAAGCGGCGCGGGCACAACCGATCGGTTCGACTGTCGCCGCGTGAATGACCCCGAGTACGGTAACGTAAACACCTCTGCCGAAAAACCGAGCGCGGATTCCAAGAAATGACGTAGCGCCGTGAACACCTAGGTCGTAAACAATCTATTGTGTCGATTCATTTGTCGCGACGAATATCGCGCATAATTTGAAATAGAAGGATTTTAAACGAATCGCAACTGCACGCGGCGGTTCGTCTCGTGTCGCGTCGTCGTCGCGACAAATCACCGTAGAAATTAGCGATATGATTACGGATCGCGACAATTACTTAAACGCGATTGATAAGGGTAATTATTTAGATTAACACACCCACC